TGAGCCTTTTGGCTCCGGCGCACATTGTGCATCAGCCTGGAACTCTGGAGCTTTGTGTGTCTTATGTAGGAGAAGTGAAATCGTCGGGTGGAGTAAAGGACACTTAGCAGTAAACTGTTTTAAGTCAGTGATGCCTCCCAGGAACCGTGCCCTCCAGCGAAGCCATGGACCTGCTGAAACCTTATAAGGTTCCAGAATCATCAGATGACTCTGAGGAGGGAACGAGTTCAAGTTCCTCGTCAAGTAGCACCGAAGCCTCTGCTGGCCAAAGCAAAAGAAGGAGACTGTCAGGTTCCTCTGAGTCTGAGTCGGGCAATTCGGATTCGAGCGATTCCTGCGACTGGTCCAGCGTCCCCGACCGACCATTACAGCAGAACAGATACTGCAACCTGACGCCAGCAACTTTGAGCATGTTCCCTGGCGAAGCTGATGGTAATGACTCCGTTGATGCCAGTAATGGGAAAGACAAATCTCGAATCCGATCGCTACTTAACGATGAGAAGGAGCTTTGCTCCTGCGCCAGAAGATGCAGAAGAAATGTAAGTCTTTCACCTGCATATTAATACAGTGCAGGGTTTCAGCGTGATGTCTGTGTCTGTGCATGTTCAAATCTGAACTGTCAACCTGAGGCTTCAAACTTATCTTTCCCATGTGTGTGCTTTTCTGGAGTCTGGCAAAGCCGATGCAAGACTCCATATTGTGGAGGTTGCAACAGGATGAGCCTGGGATGCGTGAGGAGGGCGAGTCTCAAGAGGAGGAGCCTGGACCGCGAAGGCGGCACCAATGGTACATCCAAGGCCCTGTGCTCAGAAATAATCATATTTTAACTTGACAGTCTTGGTTTGATTCGCGATGCACGGACAGCAGGTGTGCAGGTGTGCCGATTGGCTTTCATGAAACTATTGGGCGTTGGCTCTTGGCGCTTGACCCGCACTCGGCATGTCTTTCAAGGCACAGACATGCGCAAGTACAGCAGCTGGGCAAAAGCAGGGCAGGGGCTGGAACCCAGGACTGTAGCCTGTGCGCTTAATATATGACCACCTCTCGNNGTGGGCCAGCAAACTGCGAAGGCTGCTGCCAGTGTAGAATGCTTTCTCAGCAAGCTTTACTGGAATGTTGGTGAGACCCTGCCGCACGAGTTCCTTTTGGTTATTATTCATGATGGTAACAGTAGTTTCGTTTTGATTTCTTCTATGCGCTGCCAAGCGTGATCCAAAAAACAGTTGGGCTTCGTGTAACTCATAAGTCACACCGGACTCATGAGGCTGCTGTAAAATGCAGA